CCTGCCTGTTTGCTGGTCTGTCTGTGTGTATGTCTGCCTGCTTGACTGTGTGTATGTCTGTCTGCTTGCCTGACTGTCTCTCTGCCTGCTTGCCTGTCTGTGTATCTCTGCCTGCTTGCCTGTCTGTGTGTATGTATGCCTGCCTGCTTGCCTGCCTGCCTGCCTCCCTGTCTGTCCATCTGTCTGTCTGCAGAAATATTCAAATAAAATAAGACCTAGGCAATTGTTATGAGGCCAACAATATGTTGACCATTGTGTGTGGTTGAGTTAAATAATATTCATTTTTACCGCTTTATATTTTGTGGATTTTCTCACCTGTCAACTTCATCATAAATTACAAGGTTGTTTTTGGTTGGCATGGTGGATTGAGCCACAATTTTGCTGCTGTAACTGTCAACTGCCAAGACATGTGTCACTCCAAACATCCCAAGCTTTTCATTTTGATCCATGTGAAGTTTATGACCCATATATTCAGCATGGTAAGGGATGGGGTTAAAGGTCCCATGGCATGCCAATTTCACACAACTTAAAATAGTCCCCTGGTGTGTTAAAAGCATGTCTGTGACGTCCTTCGGTCAAAATTCGATTTGGATCAATTATTTTAGTGCTCTTTTTATCAGCTAAAAACAGCTGTGCTCAAAATCCTCTGTTTTGGGCCATGTCTCTTTAATGAAATGAGCTGCACCTAAGCCACGTCCACTTTACACCCATCTCTCTGGAAGGAGCTGTGGCTGTGCTCCGATAGCCATGTGCTATCGTTTACACTGGCTCGGTCATGGCTGCAAGAAGATCGCTCGTACAACCCTACCAGTTTGAGCCAGAGTCTGACCCAGAGGGAGAGGCTCCGGAAGAAACTCTGTGTATTATTCAAAGCTGCCAGGAGGGTCACGCCTAAGAAGAAAGATATGAATGTAGAAAAAATTACAACCAGAGCTCTGCTACAATGTAAGATTTTGGTGCTCTAAAACTTCTCTGAAGCCTTTGCTAATTAATAGGATGGCCGACCGTCCAGCATTAGCCGGGACGTCCCGTATTTGAGCCAAAAGAGGCGCGTCACAGCACGGGTAAATGCTAAAGCTACATGCTGCTCCGGAGGGGGATTTTGTCCCCCGCCGCTGGAGTTGTCGGGGAAGAAGCAAGCGGCTAAAATACGGGAGGATCCGGTAAACCGGCGCGGATACGGTGTGTTTATCAAAGCATGGTGGCCTGCTGAGGCAGCGGGGGGAATTTGGGCTAAACATTAAGTCAAAATAAAACGTTCGTACTTACAGATGCCACATTTGTAGTAGGATCATGGATAGTTGGTACGGATCCATTCTTTATCTTCAGACATCTAGCAAATCCAGCGTTGAACTGACCCTCGTTGATAAAACAGTCTGAAGTGAAATGGTGCGCACATACATACAGATATTTTGGAAGTGACGCGGGTACATTCCCATTATAAATAAAATCCACCCATTAAGTCCTCAAATCCTCCAACAAGGGAGTTTTCAAAAGAGTTTTGTGCTCGTTGGTGCAGCCAACAACAGAGCAAACGCTGCCTCTTTTTCAGATCGTACTTTTGCCACGGTTCTAACCGGAGCTATGTGAGCGAGTGGCCAGGAATAATGGCACTGTTTTGATAATTTTGTGGGCAGGGCAGTGGGCGGCTCCATGGGCAGTACCATCAACCCGCCAGCACTGACATGACGTCATGTCAGTGGAGATTTCCGAACGGCCGGCGCTGAGCACACAGTTCCTAAATACGGAGATAGCTAAAAAACGACTGGATGGAATTTTTTCGAACTTGGGGGGATTGTAGTGATTTTCTATCCCTGATATGCAACCCCCCCCCCCGTTAACAAAGTCAGTTTTTCATGCCATGGCCCCTTTAAGATTACGTGCAATTAAGGGAATTAGATCAATAACTTGTAATTCAAGATTTAATTGGTTTAATTGGTTAATCATTGGTCTAACAACTTTTTTACTCAAGATTCCGTTGAATCATTGGGTGTAATGTTACCTGACGCCTCAGTTCATGGTATGGCTGATGAATCTCTCTTAGAACGCCCCCGACCCGACATTCTCCTGCACGTATTCCCAGCGAAGACAGGTAGCCAGTCATGAATCTGCAACCATATGATGGGCCCGTCTGTTCGAGGCAACAAGACATAAAACGTCAGTGATAATATCACAGGCTTGTCTGACCCAAGTAGGCAAGAATTTCACTGGCCCGGCAGTTGAATAATAAAACAACTAGCCCGATATACTGCTACTCACGTATTTAGGTGAGTGGCAGGAGTCTGAGTATATCGGGCTATAAAACAACGTAGGCTGTGTGGTCAGTTTGCGTTCCAGCCATAGCTGATGTTAGCTAGCTGAGCGTACTGCATGGAGGTATAAAAAGACGTAGCTAGCTAGCAACTGTCAAACGTAAGGTTTACTAGAAAAATAGGACCTACCTTGTATATTGAACTGACCACAGCCCTCTCCACTTCTGCATCAGTAACATGACTGAACATTTCCGCCTGAGGTTGTGTTGGATACAGAAACGTCTGACACTCGTTGCAGAGCATCTCCGGACACCCATCTCCTGCAACGTCTCAGAAATGTCTGTGTGGGTCTTACCAGCTTCGAACAACTGCTTAATAATATCAGCGTATTGTTCTAATGCAGCCATATGTATATTTATATCGTCTTGTCTTTGAACAGGTTTAAAGATCCGCGCGGTTAAAGACTGGCCTCCCTGAGAAAAAAGTCAACAACTTCCGGGTCACAACACATCGAAAATGATACAAACCAAAAACGAATAGAACAAAAATCCCATGATAATTCCATTCTCTCATATTCTTTTTTTAATTTCAAAACAAAATCAAAACAGGGAAAAATAGGCCATTATTTGTTTTCCGATTTTTGATTTGAAAACGAGAAATGAAATAACAAGTTGTTATTCGTTTTCCGATTTTGGATTCTAAAGGGGATATGGAATGAACGAATGATACACTGATACCCAAGTACTCCTTGAAAAAGGGACCAAAGCTCTCAGACTTGGGGCATTTTTTGACCATTTAGAGCCATTATAACAAAATATCTTCAAATCGTCATTTGTAGCCTTAGTAGGTTACAAAGTATGTAACTTAGAGAAGTACTCCTTCTGCATTAAAATGATCCCCATCCGTGTTATAGCTTTGAATTAATATTGCTTTAATGTGCGTTATTATTTACTGATGTTTAAGGTTGAGCTAATTTTAAACAGATATATGTACTGTTGGGCAGTTTATGCAACTGTCATATTTGTAGCATCACTATCTCACATCTCATCTCTCCTGTGAGATTTAGAGACTTAAAGACAGTTCAGTTATTTTTTGCACTAGAGATTTTTTTTCTCTGGAAAAAAGGGCAAATAAATAACGACAAAAACAAAATGAAAAAAAACAAACAAACAAATATTGGCATCAGCCACCAGCCAAAACATCTGTATCGATGCATCCTTAGGATAAAAGGATACAGAGGGCCCCATGCCTGCCTTTGCCTAGGGTCCCCAAATTCCTAAGTCAGCCACTGGTGGGGGGAATGTGATAACAAAACTGTGAGGTAACTGTGAGTAAAAGCATATTAAGTTTCTAAAAGGGTTTGCAGATGTTCAGTATTCTTTCCATTGGGACAATTTCACTTAACATTACTAATTATATTAAATTTATTATTAACAGTTCAATTCAGTCTGATCCCATCTCCTCTTTGCCTTTGGTTCATAGTGTTATCTTGACATCTGTTATTGATCCCCGTTTAATCACCATTGAACCATGTGCTGGAGCATAAGGAAACATACACTGAGGATTCACAGAGCATCTTCTACTCCAGCCCTTTCTCTGCCACGGTCAGTTTAAATCTCTCCCACTTCTGCCCACAAAACTATTTTTCCTTTTTTCCCCACAACGGCTAGGTCTGCTGCTCTCTGTTTAAACTCATTGCTTTGCATGCAGTTAACTTTGTGACCTTTGTGGTGCGTGCCTAGAATCAGAACTCTGAGAGCCAACAGACTGAGCTCCAATGTGCCAATGTTCATGTGGTCGATAAGTAATCCAGCTCTGTGAATCCAGTTATGCTCACTCTGATTATAACCTTAATGCAAGTAAGATAACCAGGTGTTTTCATGAGTTGCCATAATCACAGTATTGCCTTTCTGGTTGTAATCAAATTATTAAAGTACACACTGTCTGACTTAGTCTGATAAGCCTGCTGCCGAGGGCTGCAGGGGAATGTGGAGAGCAGGCTTCAAATTTATGAACAAATCACCCTGCGTGACATACGGTTATGGTTGCAGACTGCTGAGGCCAGCAGTTACACACTCACACAAACACAGCACAGGGATACACAAGGATTAGACAGATACACAGGATCAATACTGCCCTTTAATCAAAAGGGAGCCTGGTCCAATCTGATAGACATGGTGTGGTGGATTACGGTCTGTTGTACACCCATAATTTAAAACTATGGTTAACAGTTTGTGCTTTATTTTCAAAGTTCTGGAGATATTTTTGTTGTTTATATCCAAATACACAGGTCACAACCAATCATTCTGTTCTTTATAATTTCCAATGTGAAACATTGCTGAGGACACTCAGCTGGTGAAAAACTCGGCTAAAAAAAAATCGTGATGGCTGTGAGATGAGGCTTCGCCCACTTGCATTAAGATCTGTACACCCTCGCCTCTAATTTAACTGTGTTCTTACCCACCGCATTTTAAATTCTGGACATATCCCTCCATGGCATAATGAAGTCCCTTTTAAAGGTTTCTCAAAGAAATCAGGTCTTTCTGTGCCTAGAATTTGTCAAGACCCTCTTGGGGTCGTGTTTTGACACTGGCAGTGGCCATTGTAAAGCACTGCTCAGCTCTGATTGCTTGCTGTCCAAGGTAGTAACAGTAACTAAGGGGGGCGGGGCTTAGTGATGGGTCAGTTTTAAAATTCATGTTCATAAAAATTTGTAAGAGACTACATGAAGTTTGGGCTAAGTTATAAGTTAGTTAGTTAGGTATGGTTCCCTATCCTTCCTGCACTTTTCCTGAAACATACATCCACATAAACTTCAACACACCAGCAGACATATCCTTTGCTAATGAATTCTTCTGTCTTCAGAATTTATTTTTAACATTGTTTGCCAAAAATATGGAACTGTAGCTTAAGTTTGTGTCACTAATAAGCCACTTCTCGAGGGGAAGCAATTAAAGTTGACACTGCAACATTCAACCTCTAAATGTTTAAATTATGGTTGGCTTATGGAGGACACGGTGAAGCTGATATGACTTGGCATTGTTTCCTGTCTTTTTTTTAACACTTGTGATGTCCATTATCATCCTCGTTATTTTGTTGAAGCTGAAATCCTTTCACAAAGTTCACTATATTTTGCTTGCAGTGAGAGATGATTAGTATTACTCTATTTAACCTTATTATATCCTGCTTCCTTACCCCATACAAACATATTAAATACTGTGTGAGCTAATGTAGCAGTGCCTGGGAGAACCAGATCAAGACCACCACATATAAAAATGTAACCTATAACAAAGCAGATTTCCCTACAAACAAAATTGTTGAATTGATGGACAAGAATGTAAGAGAAGCAGGAGCACTGTGGTTGCTACCCCCTCAAAGAGCTCCATCACTGTCCAGCTCATCTGATGAATTTTTCCAGCAGCGACCCAATCTTGTCCTGTATTGCTCTGAGTCAGGAACTAATGGATCTTGTTGTGAAAATGACTCCAGGAGTAGTAACTGGAATGAGTGGACCAGCTGAAATGTATTGACCCATTACCCCAGGTTTTTGGAAAATCAAGCCTTTTGGTCTAAGGTAGCTTGTCTCCTGCTGCCAAGCTCAAGAACCATTAGCCTGAAGTGCAAGCTGTCCTGATATGACTGGAAAAGGTTACCAAAGCTGGAGAGGACAGGTAAACAACTCAAAACATGTTAGCTGGAGGAATTTACTCTCTCTTGGCAAAATCAGCTTTACAAAGAGACACATCTCATATCAGGCAGCTCAATGTTTGACTGTGAGGGTCTGAAGAGCCATCCTGTTCATGTTCTACCCTCCCATCCAAATCAGAGAGCAGCAGAGAGGACAGCCTCACTGTTAGTCCAAGCTCTAAATGTCAATTCCTTCTTGATGGCTTATCAAGCCAAGCTAGCAGAGGAGGGGACTGCCTCACCCGACCCTGCTTTGTGGGGAGGGGGATTGTGCATCATCACTTATCACTGCCTCCATCTGCAGCCACCTGCCTCCACCTAAATGGCTTGTCCCGGTGTAGAGCTATGGGACTGTTGAGGCTTACTATCCTGTCAAGGAGAGGAAAAGAGGAAAGCTTGAGTGTATCTGTACTGGAGCATTTGTGTTGGTCCTATCAAGGTCAGCTTATGTCCAGTACAGTGGCGATTGCTCTAAGACTGCAAGGGAAGCTCAGCTTCCCTTAAAATGTCACCCCCCAAAAAACAGAAAAAGTGGTGAAATACGTACGGCTGTGTGTACATTTCATTAACTAAATACACGCTAGAAAGCCTTCACCTTTTGTTCAGAATCAGCTTCTTATCACAGTGTGATAAGAAGCTGATAATCACAGGTCTAAACTTCGTTCTCATTCATCCTCGCAGTGCCTCACCGCTTCACACAGCCAGATGCTCAGCGTCTGCTGACTTCAATGTGGAAGCTCAAAGTGGGTTGTTCCAGCAGCGAAACTAGACGCTCATTGGATAAATGCTGGGCTTCGTCCCGCCCATCGGACGCTCAGCGTCTCTGGAGTTCTATGACGAGAGGGCGGTCCCGACTTTCTCGCGGACGCTGAGCTTCTGCATCCATGATTGGATGAGCTGTCTGAGGCGAAATCCTTTCTTGATTGACAGCTAAACAAGCGAATCAGCGATCTTGAAGAATAAAACATCTACCAGAGCATTTTCCAAGTCATTCATTCCGTTGTTCTTAACTGCTCCTGAGACTTTACCGATCCTCAGCGACTTTTGTCTTTGTTAAAAACGACTGCCGTTGTGTTTGGCGACTCTGTTCTGTTACATACAAATAAACAAACACAATTATGATGTAGGCCAGAAAAATGAGCTTCCCCTCCTTGAAAGACCAGCAGCCACCACTGGTGCAGTATGGTGGGGCTAACATGACGTCAGTCCATGTGGAGATTGCCAGGGCCAGATTTTGACCCTCATCCAGCCCAGCACATCATTTTCACAAGTAGTTGATGAATGAAATTCATCTTAATCTTAATGTTGTCTTGTGTTGAAGGAAACCATAGACTTTGCTGAATATTGAGAAGCAGGGATTTTTTTTAAATGAGGGTCACTGGATGAAAAAAATCTTTTTGAATGACAAAACTTTGACGACCAATCAACGATGTCCCTTGACAACTACTCAGAAGGACACATGAGCAGAGGTAGAGAGATATATGCAGGAGACAAAGAGCACACAAACACAAAAATGAAGGAAAAACTACGAATGCTCCAAACTACAGTCAAGTATACATCATAGAAGAATTAAAATACAACAAAGTGAGCAATCTATCCTTGGAAACACTGTAGGTGGTGTCTTGACTGTTTGGGGTCAAGTCAGGTGAAGCAGAATTTGAGTATAAATCCAACTATCCAAAATATTCAATCAAATGTCACCATCTGTTCTTAAAGCCCTTATTCAAATTTAAAGCGTCATTTTAAGAAGTAGAAAAAAAATGGAATCTAAAAAATCCTGTAAAAAGCAAAAGAGAAGACATCATCTTCCTGGACAGACTGACTTTAAAACGATGATGTCTATACAGACTATACCAACAAAGTGAACTCTCAGTGAACCTGGAAACAGGACAGACTATAAAATAGACAAGAGGCATAGCTCAGCACATCCACACAGCACGTAAGTAAGAGAGAGGAAGTAAGGAAGCACACAGCCTGCACCTCAGGGACATAAAGAGACTGTTGAGCTGCTGAGTGATTTACACTATTTCTACAGTTAAGGACCCTTGTGCTGGGCTGTAATTAAAAAATGATGACAATGACAGATTTTTTTTTTTTGTAAAGGAGCAGCTTACCAAAAGTCAAGGAGAGAAGTTTAACTTGTCTGTAAAGTCAGACTATCAGTACTGATGTGCCACAAATATATCATTAATATTAGATTTAAGAGACAAGTGACCTTACATTGAGCAGAATAATTATTAGTTAAGACTGCTTATTAACTGCCTAATGATTGAACTAGATTACAAAAATGATTCCCAAAGTGGGAGTGCAGCCACAGGGGGAGGCAGGCTGGAGTCATTTCAGGAGGGCCGCAGCAAGACTAGATAAGAGCTATGAGCATAGCTGTTCAGTGCAAGCACAGCATGGCCAATTCTGAGTGATTATAACCTCAAGCTTTAGGATTACAATAAATCTACCGTTAACATTACACCTCTACCAGCAAACACAAGAAGCTGAGGAGTCACCTCACCCTCAGCTTGACCCCCAACAATAATAATAATAATAATAATAATGCATCAGATTTCATATAGGCAGGAAGTTGCATGTCTCAGAGCTACATTTGATCACATCTACAGTAAAAGTTTCTTGTTGGTTTTTACATGTCAGTCTCACTCATTTATGCTCCAATTCAGTAGATAGTAAGAACGCTTAATAAACCGTTTTGAAGGCACTAGAATTTGTCAGAGGGACATGCCTAAAGTGTATCTTAATGAATGCATGTTGATGTGTGAGTGTGTCTGATGAGGGAAAGGTGTTGAAAATATGTTCATGGACTACAGGGGGCCTACAGAAAAGTCTGGGGACCACTGGTTTACTGTATAACATCATGAGAAAATGACCATGAAGTCGAAGATCTCATAACTTTCAGGCAGTTTCACACATTGGTCTTGCTTTTTGGCACATTATGCTGATGTACAAGGCTTACACTTACTGAGTTCAGCTAAAGAATCAGAAGAGCTCTGACAACATCTAGTGGCTGAAATGGGAACTGCAATGAGTGGAGGAATAGTGCTGGGCAGGTATGTATCATAAATCAAATGTACGTTTCTTTCAGAGGGCAGGTCATGTCCTCAACAGTTAATTTAATTTGCCACTAATTAAGGTAATTAGTAAAAGCTGTTCAAAATGCCACAGAATATTTGAACTGCACCATGACCTAAACTTTACATTGTGTTATTACACATTATTGTGTTGTATCCAGACTGTTTTTTGCTATTTCACATTCACATTTCACATGTGCTATTTCACAGGTTTGCAGAGAAACATGTTCAATCCTGTGGCATATTACTGGGGATGGGTGAATTCATGTTTCCAGGCACCATTACTACAAAGACAGAGAGCTTGGATTTTGTATGTGCTGAAAGTGAGGAATCAGGATCACCAAAAAACTTCAGAACGTTTAGACTTTGAGTGTCATTAAGCTGATCTTCCATTACACCTACAATCCATGATTGTTATTAGAGCATTATCAATCGTATGGTGGAGGAGAAATGTCATCTGCAAAATCAACACCAGTATTCACAATAACAAAGCATCAAAAAACAAACAAACAAACAGACAGACAAACAAACAAATAAAACAGAGTTGTGTTTAAATCAGCATTGTAAGGTTTGTATCAAAGAGTAGAGGTACTATCATTGCGTGTGTAGTAGGCCACTGTTTTGGGGATATCTTTATCATCTCTTTCTCTCTTTTTTAATCTTATTTCATTATTTAGAATTTAACCTCTGAATTTTATAGGCCCTGTGTATTTTTAGACATAAAAACAGACAGAATAATTAATTGATGAATACAGTATGTACAGTGCCTTGAAAAATTCATATCCCTTGAACTTTTTCACATTTTGCCACTCTACAACCACAAACTTAAAAGTATTTTATTGACGTTTTTTGTCATAGACCAACACAAAGTTGCACATAACTGTGAAGTGGAACAAAAATGATATGTGGTTTTCAAAAATTTAAACAGATAAAAATCTGAAAAGTGTGGTGTGCATTTGTATTCAGCCCCCTTGTGTCAATACTTTGTAGAGCCACCTTTCGCTGCAATCACAGCTGCAAGTCTTTTGAGGTATGTCTCTACAAGCTTTGCACATCTAGAGACTGAAATTGCTGCCCATTCGTCTTTGCAAAATTGCTCAAGCTCAGCCAGATTGGATGGAGAGAGTCAGTGAACAGCAATTTTCAAGTCTTGCCACAGATGCTCAATGGGATTTAGGTCTGGACTTTGAGTTGGCCATTCTAACACATGAATATTCTTTGATCTGAACCTTTTCATTGTAGCTCTGGCTGTATGTTTAGGGTCATTGGGCTCTATTTTCGTGCCTCGCCGGAGACGTGCCGCAGGCGCGGCGTAAGTCTGGTCCGCCGCGCCGACAAGGCGTTCCCAAGCACAATTTGGTATTTTGGTAAGCGGCGCAGCCCGGCGTAAGTATCCCCCCTCCCTAACTCAGCTCCTCCCAGTGGCGTAAGTCATAGAGAGGGAGGAGAAAGGTGGTGGAGTGGGTTTAACACAGCCGAGATCTGCTTTCACCAATCACATCAGCTCCTCTCCTCGCCTTTAAATCCGCCACAGGCTGTATTACCACTTTCGTGAAGTAGTCAGAGAGATCAAGAGATGTCTAAAGACAGTAATGCCACAAGATGGCGACAGAAGGCAGCCCCTCAACAAGTGTCACTGTAAGCGCTGCATTGGGCGTCCTCCACACTCTCGCATATGAGCACAGATGGATTTGGTGTGTGTAATGTTGGACCCACTGGTAAGACAAACACCCTTTTCCACAAATAAAGACACTCACATAAAGTTGCATATATTCAAACCTCACATGACAAAGGTGGGTTTAGCGCACAGATCACAACATTAACTCCAAAAATGGCATTAAAATTGGAACCATCTGTTCATAAATGACGCATCGCGCTCCGTGGCCTGGCTCTTTCTTTCATAGATGTTGGCATATAAAATAAATTTGGCCCACAAAACTGAATATTATAATATCCGTATGTCGGCTTAAAGTAGATAACTCATCTGAGCACTGAAACAAATCATCTGTCAGCCGACGAAAATACAACTGCACGGGGTCCACCACCCTCCGTCGCCTCACCAGTGTACACGAAAATAGAGCCCTTTGTCTTGCTGGAAGGTGAATCTCTTTCCCGGTTTCAAGTCTTTTGCAGCCTCCAACAGGTTTTCTTCCAGGATTGCCCTGTATTTAGCTCCATCCATCCTCCCATCAACTCTGACCAGCTTCCCTGTTCCTGCTAAAGAAAAGCATCCCCACAACATGAGGCTGCCATCACCATGTTTTACAGTGGGGATGGTGTGTTTAGGGTGATGAGCAGGGTTACTTTTCTGCCACACATAGTGCTTTGCATTCAGACCAAAAAGTTTAACTTTGGTCTCATCTGACCAGAGCACCTTCTTCCACGTTTGCCGTGTCCCCTACATGGCTTGTGGCAAACTGCAAATGGGACTTTTTATGTCTTTTTGTCAACAATGGCTTTCTTCTTGTCATAAAGGACAGATTTGTGGAGTACACGACTTATAGTTGTTCTGTGGACAGATTCTCCCACCTGAGCTGTGGATTTCTGCAGCTCCTCCAGAGTGACCATGGGCCTCTTGGCTGCTTCTCTCACCAGTGCTCTCCTTGCTCAGTCTGTCAGTTTAGGTGGATGGCCATGTCTCAGTAGGTTAGCAGTTGTGGCATACTTCTTTTTGGATGATGGATTGAACAGTGCTCCTTAAGATGTTTAAAGCTTAGGATATGTTTTTATAACCTAACCCTGCTTTAAACTTCTCCACAACTTTTTTCCTGACCTGTCTGGTGAGTTTCTTGGTCTTCATGATGCTCTTTGTTGACTAGTGTTCTATAACAAAGCCCTGAGGCCTTCACAGAACAGTTGCATACAGTTGTGTGTGAAAGTCAGGGCACCCCTTTAAAAAAAAGCATAGTTTATTTATTAAAAAATTAACCTTGATATTTATAGTCTCTCTGGTAAATAGGATAAAAGATAATATTATCAGAAATCATTAATGCACAGTTACTTTTTATTTTATAAAAGGTACAAAATTACAGAAATAAAAATCATCTTTTTGGCATGCGCAAATGTCAGGGCATTCTTCAGCATCCGTACCTTCAGTACTTAGTAAGACCCCCTCTGGCAGATTTCACAGCTTGTAAACGCTTTTTATAGCCGACTAAAAGTCTCTGGATTCTATCCTTTGGGATTTTACCCCATTCTTCTTTGCAAAAGGCTTGCAGTTCTGCAATATTCTTGGGTCGTCTTGCATGCACAGCTCTTTTAAGAACAACCCACAGATTTTCAATGATGTTTAAGTCTGGATAGCTGAGCAGATAAGGAAATCATCGTTCACTTTGTTATACAAGCATGAAATTTGGTACATATACTCTTCAAACCCCACTCTTTTCAAAAATAACGTTAGCCACGCAAAATTCCAAGATGGTGGCCCCAAAATCCAAGATGTCCGCCCCAAAATGTGGTTTTTCCTTTATAACTCAAAATGACTTGATTTTATGCCCCATACATATATTGAAGTTGAATATAAAGTTGGGTATTGTGGACATTTTGGTACCTAGTACATTTCTGTATCCATTACGGTTCTTGAGATACAGCATTTAGATACTTGTACAGAATTGGGAGAGTGAGAAATTTGTAACACTGATTGTTGTTATGTGCATATGGTTGCATGAAAATATCATTTCCATAATCTGTTATTTTCATTAGGGTTATAACATTAAATTCGAAAACCAAGATGGTGTCCAAGATGGCTGCCATTGCCTTGAAGTAATCATGAATTCAGCAGAGATGAATCATGAATTCAGAAGGATGAAACTTGTCATAAAAGGTTAAAAATTAGGCATTTTGTGACAATTTTCTGATTTTTGTTATGGTGTTAGGTATGTGTATTTCCATCCATTACCGTTCTTGAGATACAGCATTTAGATACTTGTACAGAATTGGGAGAGTGAGAAATTTGTAACACCGATTGTTGTTACGTGCAGATGGTTGCATGAAAATATCATTTCCATTACCAAAGTGTCTGCAATACCCAACTTTATATTCAACTTCAATATATGTATGGGGCTTAAAATCAAGTCATTTTGAGTTACAGAAATAAAAATCATATTTTTGGGGCGGACATCTTGGATTTTGGGGCCGCCATCTTGGAATTTTGCATGGCTAACGTTATTTTTTAAAAGAGTGGGGTTTGAAGAGTATATGTACCAAATTTCATGCTTGTATAACAAAGTGAACGATTCGGGCTATATCATGCATTTGTCTGCTCCACTAAAGATGACAAGAAGAAGAAGATTCATTAGCTTACAGAAACGATGAGCAAACTATTTCACCAGGTGTATTTGCTTGACAACTATGTGACCAAGAAAAAGACTACCAGACCACTTACAGTTTGCTACTTATGTTTAACACTCATTGGAGCTGAAGCACAGACTTACTAATTTTCAATCTCTGCAAAATGATGCGTTTTTGCATAACCTGACACCCACAGAAAAACTGAGACATTAAGATACACAGCAAGTTTATGGCACTTTAAACTCTTTTATAGCAAACAGGACGCTATATAAAAACTATTGATCATCAAGGTCCTTGCCCAAACCTAACTTTATTGATATTTACCTTTAGTTAGAGGAAAATTTTTGCAAGCAATCTGGGACACAGTTGCTTCTATGCTAGGCTAGTGTTGTTGAATCCTATTGGTTTTGCAAAGTGATATGATGTCATTCAAGTTTAAGCTGACCTTTTATTTCACTTAGGCTAATAACCAGTTTATTTCTTTTTTCTAATTTTAGCACATAGTCCAGAGGAAGTAAATGGAACGCTATGCAAAAGTGATGAAGACTTACAAAAAGAAGAAATCGATCAAAGCTATGGAGTTAAATTAGTGCCAAAACCTCAAAAACTGTGTTTTATTCACGGTCAATGATTCACAAACAAACTCAGTGTGATTTGCAAAAGCAGAACATCATTCACAACTAATGCATTTAGTTTTGTTAACAAAAAGAAATGTCGCTCCAACAAGTACATCATGCTTCACAAATACAGAAAAAAATCTATCTTCACTTACATGAAAATATCCTTCAGGTGCAAAAATAAAATCAAGTACAAAAAAAATTATCGTTCAAATACGAATTTAAATCTTTCAAGTTTTAATTTTTTCTTCTCGAGTTCAAAAAAAAAATTCTGCAAGTAGGAGGAAAAAATTCTGCAAGTAGGTTAGATTTATTCACGAATGCCAGCGCACGACCCGAGCAATGTTCTGCAAAGTGCATGCCACAACAGCAGGTGGCACTGTTATTGCCATTTAAGACCATAGATCTATATCATAGATACAGCCAGGAGGCCAGGACAGAGGACAGAATCACTCGCCTATGGAGGTATTCTTGGTGCAAAAGGTTTGTGCATCTGTAACATGTAGTTTGTAGTTGTGTACAAGTTTTTTTTAATTTTTATTTAACCTTTATTTAACCAGGTGAGGCTTATTGAGATATAAAATCTCTTTTACAAGAGCAACCTGGCCAAGAGGCAGCAAAGTTACAGAGTTACAGTAAAATCATTTAAAATAAATAACAATAACTCAATAAGCAGAGTAACATCTTGTTAAAAACAGTCAAAAAGGCCAATGCTTTCCAGTTCCCTCATTTTAAGAATTTTCACAAAGTCCTCAAAGGGGATCAGATCTGATCATTTTAGTTCCTTTTGTAATGAATTCCATGCAGTAGGAGCAGCAAAGCAGAAGGCCCTTTTTCCTAACTCAGAGGGGACATGGGGAGTATTTAACATCGACAAGCCAGTGGATCGTAGCCAGTAGAAATTAGGTTTGAGATATGATATTTGAAATTTAGACAATCATCCAGATGGAAACCCAGGTACTTATAGGACGATACTAGCTTAATGGCTGCACCCCCGCAGGAAAATACGGGGAGATTTGTTGACAGCACAGTAGCCCTGGAAAACAGCATAACCTTTATCTTATCAATGTTCAAGACCAGTTTCTGCCTTTGCAGGCGACCTGAACAACATCAAAGGCCGACTGCAGACGAGTGAAAGCATGCACATCAGACGATGCACAGCAGTAAATGACTGTATCATCTGCATAAAAATGATAGAAGGCATCTGACAAATTGTTACAGAGATCATTTATATAAATAGAAAACAGAATGGGCCCCAACACCGATCCTTGTGGTACCCCTTTTGAGACCATCAGAAATGTAGATGTGGAGCCTGCCATCTGGACACACTGAGACCTACATGATAGGTAATTCCTGAACCAAGAGACTGCATGCTCAGATAAGCCCACTTTGTGCAGTGTATCAATTAGATTATTATGATAACTGTGTCGAACGCTTTGGATAAGTCAATAAATAGTGCTACACACACTTTCTTTGAATCTAATGCACCAATAATGTTGTTCAAAACCTTGAGTGCTGCAGAGACAGTGCTGTGTTCTTTCCTAAAGCCAGATTGGCAACTTGATAAAATGCTTGATTCCTCAAGGAAATCTTTTAGTTGATTGCTGACAAGTCTTTCGAAGACCTTTGCTTAAATGCACAGCTTTGAAATAGGTCTATAACTGTTCAAAATTGAGGGATCTCCCCCTTTTAGGAGGGAAAGAACAAAGTCAGACTTCCATATGATTGGGACTTCACTGTTAAGAAGACTCAGATTATATAAATTTGATAGAGGCTGAGCAATGAAATCTGCAGCCACTTTTAGAAAGTATGGCTCAAGCTGATCAGGACCGGCAGATTTCTTTGGGTCCAGCTGTTTCAGTTCCCTCAACACATCAACTGGAGATATTGTAAGAAACTGAAATAGAGCTTCCACATTTTGTCTACAAACTGGCTTGACATTATTTTCAATGCGAGGATCAAGACTGCTTGATTTTTGATTAGATTCAAATAAAAATCCTGCAGAAATAAAATGCTCATTAAAACAATTTAAAATCTCAGACCTGTCAGTTATCATACATGAGTCATTGTTGATAAAAGAAGGTGGTTCAGTGGTGGAAACCTGACCAGAAAAGGACCTCATCATTTTCCAAAACTTTCTTCATTTAAATATTTACTGGTTTCCGAAAAGTAGTACTCTGCCTTTGCACTTCTTATACACTGAGTAAACCGATTTCTAAGCTGCCTAAATCTGAGCCAATCAATGTCAGCCTTAGTTTGTCTTGCTCTGACCCAAGCTTTATTTCTATCTCTAAGGAGACTATTTAATTCTGGAGAAAACCATGGATTATTGTGACTTTTTATTCGCAATTAGCGAAAAGGAGCATGTTTATTTAGAATTTTCAGGAAATCATCAGAAAAGAAATTCCAAGCCAATTCCACATCACCAATAAGATTTAGTCTGTCCCAGTCAAAATTATAAAGATCATGAAAAAAAGCTTGCTCACAAAAACGTTTGAGGTCTCTTTTGAGGAGCAGTCGGGGCTTCATTTTAGGGAGTTTAGCCTGCCTGACAGTTGCAATAACACAATGATCACTTCGATCATTTGCAAAAGTGCCCACATCAGAGAATTTATGAAGGGAATTTGTTACAAACATATCAAGCAAGGATGACTTCTCAGGACATTTAGCATTTGGGCGTGTTGCCCCCTTAACAAGTTGTGTCAGATTAAAAGAGTCACAGAACGATTTGAGGTTGTCTGACACTGAGGTCAGCCAATTACAGTTGAAGTCCCCTACTAGCAATAACTCATTTGATCCAAAATTAGCCAAGTTCTGTGCTAATGAAGTTAGGGCCTCAGCACTAGCAGAAGGGGGCCTATAACATCCAATTATATTAATAAATTGACTCTGAGCAAGATCTAGTTTTAAAACCAATAATTCAAATTGCTTGCAGACAGACACTGAAGATAAAAGACTAACATGGAATTTATTTTTTACATATATAACAATTCCTCCCCCTTTTTTGGGGGCGATCGTAGCAATGTGAAGTATACCCCTTTATACTGACATCTTTATCTTGAACTAACTTTTTTAGCCAGGTTTCTGATACAACTATAATGTTTGCATCTGTTGAACAGGCCCAAATTCTAATGCCATACATTTTTGGGAGCAAGCTACGAATATTGATGTGAATAATACCAAGACTAGACCTGTCTTTAAACTCCTCCAGGGTAGAGATAGAGTTAAGCCTTGGCCCAGGGTTTGTATGAACATTTCCTGACATAAAGAGAAGCAACAAAATGACATACCTTTTCTTTACAGTGGTACTACGTAAGAAATTTAAATCATAGATTTCAGTCTTACTGACATATGCAAAGAGATGATCGTCTATGAGTGAGAAATTTTTCCACAGTACAGAAAGGCAGGCAAGTGATAGCAACATTTTAGGGTTAAAAGAATCTTCATAGTAAGGATAATAAAAACGCAACTACAAATCGATGATTACAACCCCATGAATCTTCTCCGAGTCACGGATTGTGCTTCCTTTCGACAGCTACAAATCGAAGTTGCTGCATTCTTTGGTGCAAAAGGCGGTCGCTAATCTGAGATTGACGGGTTTTACAACCAATCAGAAGTGATAGCATTTCATCTCACAGCCAATCAGAGAAGATAAGGCTCTCTACACAGAGAGTGAGAACCAGAGCAGTGGATGGGGTCTCTGCCGTACCGCGTCGGCTAGTGGTGGGCAAAACCGGTCATTTCAGGGAACCGGATCATTCCGGGTCGTTCAGTAAAAAGACCCGTTCATTTCGTTCTTTTCGGTCAATCGGTCATTAGTCAGTCCACTCGCCCCCCCCCAGAAATGTAGAGTTCTTCAACACAAAGGCGTACTGCATTTATTTGAGGATAAAACTGCTCTTGTTTCCTAAATTAACAAGAATTATATCTCAGAATTAACTAAAAAAATTTCGGTGGTTAAAAAGTTCTTTTTTTATATAGTTAACATAAAAAGGTAATGTCTCAGGTTATAACCAGGTTATTACAAGGTAATATCTCAGGTTATAACCAGGTAATGTCTCAGGTTATAACCAGGTTATAACCAGGTAATGTCTCAGGTTATAACCAGGTTATAACCAGGTAATGTCTCAGGTTATAACCAGGTTATAACCAGGTAATGTCTCAGGTTATAAACAGGTAATGTTTCAGGTTATAACCAGCCTATTACCAGGTAATGTCTCAGATTATAACTAGGTTATAACCAGGTAATGTCTCAGGTTATAACCAGGTTATAACCAGGTAATGTCTCAGGTTATAACCAGGTATTGTCTCAGGATATAACCAGGTTATAACCAGGTAATGTCTCAGCTTATAACCAGGTTATAACCAGGTTATAACCAGGTAATGTCTCAGGATATAACCAGGTAATGTCTCAGGTTATAACCAGGATATAGCCACGTTATAACCAGGTAATGTCTCAGGTTATAACCAGATTATAACCTGGTTATATCCAGGAAATGTCTCGGGATATAACCAGGTTATAACCAGGTAATGTCTCGGGTTATAACCAGGTAATGTCTCAGGTTATAACCACGTTACAACCAGGTTATAACCAGGTAATGTCTCAGGATATAACCACGTTATAACCAGGTAATGTCTCAGGTTATAACCAGGTAATAACCAGGTTATAACCAGGTAATGTTTCAGGTTAAAACCAGGTTATAACAAGGTAATGTCTCGGGTTGTAACCAGGTTATAACCAGGTAATGTCTCAGGTTATAACCAGGTGATCACCACGTTATAACCAGGTAACGTCTCAGGATATAACCAGGTTATGACCAGGTAATGTCTCAGGTTATAACCACATTATAACCAGGTAATGTCTCAGATTGTAACCAGGTTATAACAAGGTAATGTCTCGGGTTGTAACCAGGTTATAACCAGGTAATGTCTCAGGTTATAACCAGGTAATCACCAGGTGATAACCAGGTTATTACCAGGTAATGTCTCAGGTTATAACCAGGTAATAACAAGTTTATAACCAGGTAATGTCTTAGGTTATAACCAGGTTATAACAGGGTAATGTCTCAGGTTATAACCAGGTAATAACCAGGTTATAACCAGGTAATGTCTCAGGTTATTACCAGGTTATAACCAAGTAATGTCTTAGGTTATAACAAGGTAATAACCAGGTTACTACCAGGTAATGTCTCAGGTTATAACCAGGTTACTACCAGGTTTTTACCAGGTAAAGTCTCAGGTCATTACCAGGTTATTACCAGGTTATTACCAAGTAATGTCTCAGGTTATAACCAGGTTATTACCAGGTATTGTCTCAGGTTATAACCAGGTTATTACCAGGTAATGTCTCAGGTTATAACCAGGTTATTACCAGGTAATGTCACAGGTTATGACCAGGTTATTACAAAAGCAGCAAGTACAAGAAGGTATGTGTGTGCGTGTGTGTTTTTTAACTAATGCATCTTAACAGGTGTCAGACATCAAAGGCATTAACTGATGTACTGTTTGAATGAGAAGCTGCCTAACTTCAGCGAATTTAGGGCCTCTGAACTTCTTCTCATAGCGTGATTTCCTTAAATCCCAGAATGAAAATAAGAACATTGTACCAATCATCCGCCCCTCATGAACACAATGATGTGTTTTTCATGTCTGTACTCTGAAAAATGTGGCCACAACAGCGAGTTAAATAGGTCTGAGCCTGAGCGATTTTCAGGATTTTCTTGGAGAAAAATTACATTAGGGCCAATGGGAGAGATCTTCGGCTATTTGGACAGTTGGTCACCTGCTGGCGGAGGGGTACGATTTAATGATTTGAAACCTCTTTTGTGAGAAGCAGGACACATATACCTCCATTTTGATTATTCTTTTATGGCTGTGGAGTGAAATTTGTGGGCGCAGGAGCGATATATTCAAGCGAGGTTTTGTCGATCAGAGAGGGGGTCTCCACTCTAGCGATGACATCATCACTCTAGCTCTTCCATTATAAAGTCTGAAATTTGCTGAAAACCCTGAGTGCTAAATTGTGGAAAAACTGTAAAAGATATCAAAAAATGGAACACACGTTTAATAGTCGACAAGTGAATGAACATTTTAAAGCAAAAATGAGGTCTCTAGGTGAAAGTATACTGAAGTTGTAAGGTTTAGAAGGTGGAAGAAGAAAAGGAAGAATTGGAAGATTTCCCCATTGACTTCAATGTTAAAATTTTGGCACAAAAAGTAAAAAAAAAAAAAAAGTATAAAAGGTAGAAAGGTAAAAAGTACGAGCCCTCATGTCCTGAAGGAGTGGAACAGTTTAAAGTTTGAATGGTTTAAATAGCACAAAGTAGGAAAAAGTTAGAAGCAGACGAAAATTGGCGGAACAATGATAATAATAATAATAATAATAATAATAATAATAATAATAAACAAAATGGCCGACGGGAAGAACAATAAGTGGAAATGCTTAATCAGCATTTCCACTTAATAACAATGAACAGCAAAGAGCTACAAGTGTGTGGGGCTAGTAATCTACTTGTACTGAATCCTTTTTTACAGTTGACCTCAAAAGTGGAAAAGAAGGTTATTTTAGCAAAAATCAGTATTGAGATCGAAGTGGGATTGAATTTAAGGAGACAAGATTTGACCAACACAACACTCAGAGTTTTTGATTCACATTACCAGCACTGCCAATAATCCTTATTGACTTTCAATGCCAATCAAAACATGTCCCAAGTAAGAACATAAAGTTAAAAAGGGGATGAAAGCGATAACCTCAAGCTAACTCAAACCATAACTTTCTTTATTGAGATATCAACCTCCACATTAAATCTGGTTCAGAAAGTGTGTATTAAACTGCTTTTTTCATTCAAATTTAAAGTAAAAAAATCAAGTTGGCTATTCTACATTACAGCGCTTCTTAATATATAAATAAATGATTCAAAGACTGAGGAACAGACTGTGAGTGTGTTTCAGGGGGGGGGGGGGGTACTGATTTTCATGTACAAGTGACTTCATGTTAAAGCTACTGTGGGGAATTTTCAGCCGATTATTACTGACTGATATTGATAGGGATGCATCTGTGTGGCCTTAAAAAGCAAATCGGACCACCTTTGAAGGGTTTGTTCATCTCTACAAAGTTATTTGTGAGGTTAGAAACTGTTGTCAGGGGTGTAGGTGTCAGATGATTTAGCTAAATTGAAGCTTTTTAAAAAGGCTTTTTCAAAAATATCTCAGGTGAAGATGACCAATGACTTTTAAAATTGAGCAGGGACTTAACACTATTTGAAAGAGAGGTTATGAAAAGAAGCATAAGAAGCAACACAAACCAAAAATTAATCACGGGAGCTTTAAGAAAGAATTGATAATCAGGTGACACCAAAATTGATCCATCCTGTGAACAAAATGAGTTTGTTACCTTCTCTGGAGTTCCCGAGGAGGCTTTTGCTGATCTTTATGATCAGAGAGAGGAGACACACGCTTTTCTCTCTAATGGAGTAAAAATAATTTTGATTTGTCAGTAACAGAATCAACTGAAAGATAAACCAAAACTAATGCTTATAACAACACTGAAGTCCAGACTGGTATTCCTATGCTTTACTTACACTACAGCACTTAAAAAACCAAGAACAACTCCATTTCTTCTCCTTCGGTTTCTTGTTTTTCTCCCCAGGTGGGGGTGCTGTGGAGCCAGCCAGACCATTGGAGGTGACATCTCTGCAGACACAAGCACACACCATTACCGTGTGGTGACATTTGTTTTAACAACCTGTAGTGATGTTTTAAAGGAGTCTGCAGTGACTAGTCAACATTTATCAGAAGCTTTTGTGGCTGCACAAATAAACAGCTGATTGTTGGAGCAGTTTACTCACCTCTGCTGAAGGCTGATTAGACTTCTGACTTTTCTCCGTGGAGTAACAACAAATATAAAAATGAAAACCCACTGTGTCAAATATTTGTAGTGTCTGATTTTAAATGTCACACTTATAAAATGATCTTATTTTAACAGCTCTGAAACATACCAGAGGTTGACCAAACAGCCTGTGCAGCCAAAAGTTCGTTGGGCTGCAGTTTTCTGTGTTAGAAGCCCCTGACGCAGTGTTTCTGTTCAACACAGAAACACAGGTTGGTTATTTTAATGAACAAAACAAATCCATAAACAGAAATATCTGCAGAGACACATGACAGTCACACAGACTCAAACCATGGTAATATTCAGACGATAAAATACAATAAACACGTACTGGATGGTCTTTGAGGAAGTATCAGAGTCAAACTGAAAAAGTGTCTTTATGTATCAAAAATAATACAGCACACTCACAGTGGTTTAAAATACCTGAAGGTTATTCCCTGTTTTTGTGTTGTTGTTATTGATAAATGAACCCCCTCTTTGTTCACACTTATTCATTAAAAACCTAAGTGCTGAATCTCTTTAAGTTGACACAGCATTTTTAAAACAAAGCTTTTTTAATGCATATTATCCGGAAAAGGCCTCATACAAAACATGTTTTTCCTTCAATTTCAAACACAGTAAATTAAAATGGTCTCTGGGAATTTCCCCTTGTGGGACTAATAAAGGACTATCTTATCTATCATACCTGACTTTACTCGTTTTTGACTAGAGACTCCCAGTAAGAGCAAACGATGATAAAACTTCTTTATTTCATTTAGTGTTTTTACACATTTCCTTTGTCTGACTGATTAATTGATCAGTAAATGTCTTATGTGAAGCCTTTGAATTGTCTTATTCAGTTAAAATAACCACTGAAATGTGTCACATAAATACATGTGTCTTGTCACAAAAAGAGTATGAAACACAGTGTAAATCCAAAATCAAATCCTAAATTTGCGAATCTTTGGATTTTTGCTGGCACTGTCACAGATTTAACTCTGAACTGTCCCAGATTATAATCTGCTGGGAGGTCTCTGTCATGTTTCAAATGTTACACTCTGCATATTAAATGCAAAAGAGGTAAAAGATTGTTTTAGAGACACATTGGTAAACTACTGTTTAATATCACACCCCTATAAATTTGAGTTTGCATTTTACTGTCATCATAAGTTAAACGTGTTTCTTAACTCCTGTTGAAGCTCGAGCACGCAATTCTCGGAGCTTCTCCTTTTACAGGAATGGGTTGACTCTTCTGTGCAGATTTAAAGAAGAAATAAGAAAGCATTGGTTAGTATAAAAGAAACTGTCAAATAAGTTTCAGACTGACGGCTTTAAACAGCCCAGAAGACATAAAAAATCTCTTATAGAGATTTCTCACAATAACATGAGCTTTTCTGCTCTTAAGCACGAAGAGTCTTTGACATGGTGGGCAGGACTTTCATGTGATGTCAATGCATCACTTTTAAGATAACCATCCGAATGTCTAGACTTTTAACTCGCTGTTGTGGCCACATTCATTGTGTTCATGAAGGGCGGAGGATTCGTACGATGTTCTTTTTTTCATTCTGGGATATAAGGAAATCACGCTATGTGAAGAAGTTCAGAGGCCCTAAATTCACTGCAGTTCAGATGCTTCTCATTCAAACAGAAGGTCAGTTAATGCCTTTGATCTCACAGCTGTTTAGGATGCAATCATTAATGAGACACACACACACACACACACACACACACACACACACACACACACACACACACACACACACACAGTCTGACAATGTGTGTGCGTGTGTGTCTGTGTCTAAAAGACTTGCATGTACACACAGTTAATATGTGTCTGCATCACCACCTATCTCCACCCACAAACTTTGAGCTACAGAAACCATTCTGGGCTTCAAAAATTCAGCTCATTGAGGACATTATGGGGTGTGCTCAGGATATATTTTTTAAACTTTTCCCCACTTTAAAATTATTCTCATTATTCATGCATTATTAAATTCGTCAGACAAATCCAAACTCATCCAAACTGATTCAAACCTTTCTGATACTTCAAACCTGTTTAACACTTTAGGACTTCTAATTATTTAAAAATTTTCCCACTTCAAAATCATTCTCATTATTTATGTATGTTTTAATTCTTCAAACAAAATCCCAGTTCTACCACTACAATTACTACTTATATCACTTTAACCCTTGTGCTGCCCTTCAGGGTCAAAAAGACCCAGTCAGTATACCCTCGCCCTATTGGGGTGAATTTAGCCTCCAGTCAGCGTGGACTAAGATAACCCATGACTCCTGATTGTTTTACCCCGCCTGGGTCGAATAGACCTCAGTCAAGTATGGATTTGAGAATCGTAAACTCGCGCCCCTGCCCTCGGCAGGGTCAAATATACCCCACCGTGGTGTACATAGCCTTTTTTTTTTCATTTATTTATTTATTTATTTATTTTTACTCATTTGAACTCATGACTCCTGACGTTCCAGCGCGCATCTCAAACAGCATAAACCCCTGGACCCGGTTCTCGCTCATCCAGTCAAGTATCCTGTGGTGGTGGCGGCGTTGAGGACCCCCTGTATTTTACAGCGTGAGGACTGTAAAAAAAACATAAAGCTCTAGGTTTTACTTTCAAGGCTACACTACATATAAAGACTAAGAAAACTTGGAAACTTGGAGGACTGGAAAAAAATAAATAAATAAAATAATTTTTAGGAAAGGATGTCGGTATCAACAAAAGTTCCATCTCAAGAGTTGAGTAGAATAGAGTGAAAACTGTATTCATCACGGCAGGGAAACTTAGAGAGATTGTCAGAGAGCTTGCAAATACAGATAACAACAGCCGCACTACCTAATTCATATAAATGAGCACAACCTATCACAAAATAAAGGCAGTACAGTGAAAAGGCAAGGGGATTTTGTTTTTACACACGCTTTTGTCTCAGAGAGTTTCACATAGCATTATAATGCCAACATCATCTGCCCTTAGACCCTCACGTCAACTGAGGAAAAATGGAGAAATAAGACAAAAAAAAATTGGAGAAACCTCAGGGTGAGCAACACAGGAGAGATCCCCTCACCCAGGACGGGGCAGACCTGCAACAGAGGTTCTATACAGACAAAAACAAACAGACAAACAAAAAAACGGGTTTACAACACATAATGTGCCGAACACGACATTCCATTGTTGCCTAACAGGAAAACAGAAAAGTTTTCTCAAAAGTGTTGAACACCGACAAAAAGGACCGTAGAGGAGAGACTACAGTACAGTAAGTATTCTATATCTATCTATCTATCTATCTATCTATCTATCTATCTATCTATCTATCTATCTATCTATGTAAAGACATGAATATATTTGCGTTTTTCGTGACTCGTGCGCCCTGAGAGTGGCAGCGAGTCACAGCAGCTCCTCACAGACTTCGCGTTTTTGCCTTCTTATTGTTGTTTTTTTGCACCTCATTTATACCCTTATTGTTATAACTGCATGTTCGCACTTTTTGTCTTGTCTGTGATGCTGCTGTGACAAAAAAAAATTCCCCATGGGGGATCAATAAAGGAATATTCTATTCTATTCTATTCTATTTGTTTGTGTTCATCTTCTTACTCTGTGTGCTTTTAAAGCAAGGGAAAGGCTGTAATAGCTCCAACAAAACAATGTGAACGCATAGTAGTGTAGGGTATTGTGAATTCCTAGAACTACAAAATCTGTTCGGATTTTAGATCAACTCAGAAATCCAGTCAAACAATATAGTTTGTCTCTCTCTCTCTCTCTCTCTCTCCCCCTCTCCCAACATGCGTTTACAGGATCTTGTTTTCCCTTCACAGTCGCGCTGCATTCCACAGGGCCGTTCATGCCGTTGTTGCCAAGGAGGACAGAAAAACAGAAAAGTTTACTCAAAAGGTTTGCAGACCGACAACTGGGACCGTAGAGGACAGACCAGAGAACAGTAAGTATTCTATATCTATCTATCTATCTATCTATCTATCTATCTATCTATCTATCTATCTATCTATGTAAAGACATGAATATATTTATATCACCGTGATAGCTCCGTGTCCCCTAAGCCACATTTCTCTCTCTGTCTCTGTTCTGCAGGCCGAAAGAAACGGATGTCTCTCTCCGCGACCACTGAGTTGTGCAGTCGTTTTGGTCCCGCTCTGTTTCGTGAATTGTAAATTTGCTATGCTCTTACGCTGAGTCGCATTCAATCATTCGTTAGCTCACCTTCCTGACTGAACGATTCGCTTTGATTGGACTTAGCTGTTTTTGGTTGTCTATCCGTAAGAGCATAACAAATACATGACACAGAAACGAGTCTTTGAATCCACACGCGCACACACACGCCCTCCACCCGTGATGCACAAAAAGCGCGGCGGAGGGTCGAGGTCAACTCACCCTCAGCTCTTTCTGCTTGTCAAAATGGTGATCTAAAAACTCACCTCTGCTACGCTGTCGTGAAAACGTTTGACTGAAAACCTTTGCTGTGTTCCTCTTTTCGCAGTACGGGGGGGCACTGGATCCGCAGGAGCGAAGAAAGAGGAAAAAAACAAATAAAGTCGAAGTCTTGACACGCATCTACAAAAAGGATCGTAGAGCAGAGAGTAGAGTAAGTAGTCTATCTATCTATCTATCTATCTATCTATCTATCTATCTATAACGTTATATAGATAGATATATAGTTATACGCTTTTCTCTTTTTTATTTTTTTTTGTTTTTGTTTTCCTTCTTTACCCTGTCGTGAAAACGTTTGACTAAAAACCTCCACTGTATTCTTCTGTTGCACAGACTCTTTTCGTAGCGAAGAGCGAAGAAGGAGGAAATTCGTCTGTGAATCAACTTAGAGGAGAAAAAAAGCGCTCTCCTGTACTGGCTGGCCTCTGCGGCTACAGCCGAAGACGATCTCGACCTCGAGACCTCGATCTCGAGAAAAAGGAGCGGACCGCGGCCGAATGAGGACGACGATGAAATGCACGGCGCGCGGACGGAGACGCAGGGGTCGAGGATTCGTCTGCGAGTCGACAGAGAGGAGCAAGAAAAAGCGCTCTTCCCCGAGAGCTTCCTGCCTCTGCGGCTACATCTCCCCGGAGAGCGTCCGGCCTCTGCGCGATTATTAATATGTGTGTGTGTGTGTGTGTGACCTGTGCGCGTGTGTTTTCTACACTGCCTGTGTATTCTTTTTTTTGTTTGTTTGTTTGTTTGTTTGTTTGTTTGTTTTTTTGTTCACAGCGCCCTCTGCACGACTGGCCATCCCGCGGGGGACGGTCACGTCGTCTCTCAGCCTACGCGTCCGTTCTTCTCGTCCGCTGAGCCGGCGACGGCACGGGGAAAGAAAGAACGGATCCGTGGTTCTGAGACGACGCGTCCCCCAGCGCCCTCTGCACGACTGGCCATCCCGCGGGGGACGGTCACGTCGTCTCTCAGCCTACACGTCCGTTCTTCTCGTCCGCTGAGCCGGCGACGGCACGGGGAAAGAAAGAACGGATCCGTGGTTCTGAGACGACGCGTTTCCGCTGCTCGTGTTCGGCCTCTGACGCACCGCACGTCGACGGAGAGGAGCAGGAAAGTGTGCTCTCCCCCTTCCCCGGGGGCGTCCGGCCCTTCTAGCGCGGCCTCCGCGGCTACGGTCCAAGACCTTCCCGAGGAGGGGAAAGCGCCGAAGGCGAGTTTGAAAAACGGAAAAACGCGGGACGGAGGATTCGTCTGCGAGTCGACGTGCGGAGAAACCCCCGACGCTCTCCTGTTCCCGTTCCGGCCGGCTACCGCCGCGAAGACGTTCTCGACGAGGGAGAAAAGGGCGCGCGACTGCGGCCGAACGTGTGGCGCGCGGATGGAGACGGATGGAGGACGCCTGGGCTTTAGAGGTAAGATGTGTGTGCGTGTGTGTGTGTGACCTGTGCGTGTGTGTTTTCTACACTGCCTGTGTATTCTTTTGTTTGTTTGTTTGTTTTTTGTTCACAGCGCCCTCTGCACGACTGGCCATCCCGCGGGGGACGGTCACGTAGTCTCTCAGCCTACGCGTCCGTTCTTCTCGTCCGCTGAGCCGGCGACGGCTCGGGGAAAGAAAGAACGAATTCGTGGTTCTGAGACGACGCGTCCCCGCTCCACGATTCGGCCTCTGACGCGCCGCACGTCGATGGAGAGGAGCAGGAAAGTGCGCTCTCCCCCTTCCCCGGGGGCGTCCGGCCTCCGAGGGCGCCCTCCTCGAGGAGGGGAAAGCGCCGAAAGCGAGTTTGAAAAATGGATAAAGGCGGGACGGAGGATTTGTCTGCGAGTCGACATGCGGAGAAACCCCCGACGCTCTCCTGTTCCCGTTCCGGCCGGCTACCGCCGCGAAGACGTTCTCGACGAGGGAGAAAAGGGCGCGCGACTGCGGCTGAGCGTGTGGCGCACGGAAGGAAACGGATGGAGTAAGCCTGGGCTTTAGAGGTAAGATGTGTGTGTGTGTGTGTGTGTGTGTGACCTGTGCGTGTGTGTTTTCTACACTGCCTGTGTATTCTTTTTTTTGTTTGTTTGTTTGTTTGTTTGTTTTTTTGTTCACAGTGCCCTCTGCACGACTGGCCATCCCGCGGGGGACGGTCACATCGTCTCTCAGCCTACGTGTCTGTTCTTCTCGTCCGCTGAGCCGGCGACGGCTCGGGGAAAGAAAGAACGAATTCGTGGTTCTGAGACGACGCGTCCCCGCTCCTCATATTCAGCCTCTGACGCACCGCGAGTCGACGGAGAGGAGCAAGAAAGTGCGCTCTCCCCCTTCCCCGGGGGCGTCCGGCCTCCGAGGGCGGCCTCCGCGGCTACAGTCCAAGACCGTCCCGAGGAGGGGAAAACGCCGAAGGCGAGTTTGAAAAACGGAAAAACGCGGGACGGAGGATTTGTCTGCGAATCGACAAGAAAACCCCGACGCTCTCCTGTTCCCGTTCCGGCCGGCCTCCGCGGCTACCGCAGCGAAGACGTTCTCGACGAGGGAGAAAAGGCGCGCGACTGCGGCTGAGCGTGTGGCGCGCATCCTGTGAGGAACGGACGGAGAGAGAGAGGGAAAGAAAGAAAGAAAGAGACAAAGGTTTCAAAGATTTTTTTTTTATTTATTTTCATTTCTAAGAGCAGAAAATACTGTAAAGATGTCTCAACGCCAACAGAAAGAAAGTGTTTGTACATAAAAAGTGTTTTACAAATGAAAAAAAAAAAGATATATACATTTAAACATTATTTTATTTATTTATTTATTTTTAAAAAACTACACCTTGCTTCATCATACAGTGTTTTTTTTTTTTTCTTTCCTCACTGCAGTGTCCCAGAATGGTGAGGCTGAGCGAAGAGGACAACACCTGGGCTCCAGAGGCACGAGTCGGCACCCCACCATAGGGAGTGAAACCACTGTATCACTCGGTCAGTTGTAAAACACAAAAGTTTGAATTGTATAATCGGCAGAGGTTGGAGAGCGTCGGAGTTGTCGTGTCGTCTCTAAGCCAACGTGTCTGTTCTTCTCTTCCACTGAACCGGTTGCGTTTTACTTTGCACAGTTCAGTCAGGAAGGTGAGCGGCTGGTTCGGAGTTAGAGAAGAACGAATTCGTGGTTCTGAGATGACGTGTCCCCGCTCCTCATATTTAGTCCTCTGACACAAAGACATCACAAAATGTGAACTCGATATCACTGACTGTGCTGACTCTGTGTGTGTGTGTGTGTGTGTGTGTGAGTGTGTGTGTGTGTGTGTGTGTGTGTGTGTGTGTTCCACACTGCCTGTGCAAGTTTCTCTTTTTGGTTTTACAGCGCTCTCTGCATGACCGGCCATTCTGTGAGGGAAGAAGAGAGAAAGACACACGAAGTTTCTCCAGATTTTATTTTTCAATTCTAAGAGCAGAAAATATTGCGAAGACGTCTGAACACCAAAAGAAATAAAGTGTTTGTACATAAAAAGTGCTTTACAAATACATTTTTTTTTAAAAGCACGCCTGTCCAAGGCTCGGTGAGGTTTAGGGAAGAGGACAACGCCTGGGCTCCAGAGGCACGAGTCGGCATCCCACATGAAGTCAAAAAAGTCTCTATCACTCTGTCAGTTGTAAAACACCAAAGTGCAGTTGTATAGTCGGCAGAGGTTGGGGGGGGGTGGGGGGGGTGGGGGGGGAGAGCGTCGGAGAGAGAAAGACACGCAAAGTTTCTCCAGATTTTCTTTTGTACGTTTCATTTTTCAATTCTAAGAGCAGAAAATATTGTGTGTGTGTATGTATGAATATATGATCCTGTAAGGGATGATGAAAGAAATAAAGAGACCAAACTGTTTGCAATATTTCATATTACTTTTCCTCCGTTGATGTGTGGGTTCAAGGGCGGAAAATAGTGTCAGGATGCCGTCTGAACACCAATGAGACTATATGTTTTGTAAAAGAATAAAGTGCTATACAAATAAGATTAAAAAAAACAATGTTTACCGCAATTCCCGATTGCCAAAAGAACAGTGCAGCGTGTGTCTGAATAGATCAAGTTTATAGCAAGTTTAGTCACATCTCCGTAAAACCGTACTACACCTGCATAAAACCTGTACTACTACCGATCCTTGTCCTATTACATTACATCACATCGCGTTACAACAATAACTACTAAAACAACAACTACGATAAAAATGAAAAAATAAGACAATACCGCGCTGCAGCCATGAGTCGAGAGTTTACCGCTTTGCAGGTCATGCGACAGATGTTGTCAAACGCATTCTCTGATGATGCCAATCCCGATGAAGAAGCAGAGGGTGTGTCTGAGGAGGAGGATTATGAGGCAAGTAACCGACCGAACAGGGAAGAGGAAGGAAAAGAAGATGAAATGATAATATCAGAAGACAGAGAGGAGCAAATGGAAAGAGAGGGAGAAGAGGACGGAGAGCATAAAGTAGAAGAAGGAGAAGAAGAAGATGAAGGAGAAGAATGGGTAACAGAAGACAGAGAGGAGCAAATGGAAAGAGAAGTAGAAGAGGACGGAGAGCATAAAGAAGAAGAAGAAGAAGAAGAAGATGAAGGAGAAGAATGGGTAACAGAAGACAGAGAGGAGCAAATGGAAAGAGAGGTAGAAGTGGAAGGAGAGCATAAAGAAGAAGAAGAAGATGAAGGAGAAGAATGGGTAACAGAAGAAAGAGAGGAGCAAATGGAAAGAGAGGTAGAAGACGAAGGAGAGCATAAAGAAGGAGAAGAAGAAGAAAATGAGGAAGAAGATGAAGGAGAAGAAGGGGTAACAGAAGAAAGAGAGGAGCAAATGGAAAGAGAGGGGGGAGAAGAAGAAGAAGAAGAAGAAGAAGAAGAAGGAGAAAGGGTAATAGCAGGCGAGCGAGATGAGCAAGCTAAAGAAGATACAGATTTGTTTTTTCTCTCAAAACACGACAAAATCATATGGTCCTCCGTAGCGTACGATAAACAAGAGCGGGGTAGAAAAGACAGGAGCGGTGAGGCTACGCCGCCGCCGTCCCCACACATGCCGTCGTCGCCGTTACCGCCGCCGACCGGCCCACCCGGACCGACTGAATATTCTCTCGTCCACGCCCGCGACATCGCCTCCGCTTTTTTCATGTTCGTCACCCCGTCGATAGAACGCATCATCTTGGAGATGACTAATTTGGAGGGAAGATGGAAAATCGGAGACGGCTGGAAACGCATGGATGCCGTTGACCTTCGCGCCTACATGGGGCTGCTGCTTTTAGCCGGCGTCTACAGGTCCCGAGGCGAGGCGACCGCCAGTCTGTGGGATGCTGAGAGCGGACGGTCCATCTTCCGCGCCACGATGCCGCTGAAAGTGTTTCACGCCTACTCTAGACTGCTGAGATTCGACGACCGCGAGTCGAGACCCGCCAGACGCGCGACCGACAAACTGGCGGCCGTAAGAGAGGTCTGGGACGCGTGGTCCGAGCGGCTGCAGTCCCTCTACAACCCCGGGCCGGAGATAACGGTGGACGAACAGCTGGTTCCGTTTAGAGGGCGTTGTCCCTTTCGGCAGTATATTCCCAGCAAGCCAGCGAAATACGGGATCAAGACGTGGGTGGCGTGCGACTCTAAATCCAGTTACGCTTGGAAGATGCAAGTGTACAGGGGGAAGGCCGCGGCCGCGGACGCAGCTGCGGGCCACGGCCCGGAAAAGAACCTGGGCATGTGAGTCGTGCTCGATGTCACCGAGGGACTGAGGGATCGCAACGTCACCTGCGACAATTTCTTCACCTCTTACGAACTCGGGCAGCAGCTGCTGAAAAGGAACATGACCATGGTGGGCACCGTTCGAAAAAACAAGCCGGAGCTCCCCCCGGCCCTTCTCTCGCCGAAGGGAAGAGCGGTGTTCTCGTCGAAATTCGTCTTCACGTCGACCACCGCCGCGGTCTCTTACGTGCCCAAGAAAAACAAAAACGTGCTGCTGGTTAGCACGAAGCACACGGAGGCTGAAGTCAGCGACCGCCGCGACAGAAAGCCGGTCATCATACTGGACTACAACCGCTGCAAAGGAGGTGTCGATAACCTCGACAAGTTGATCGGAACCTACAGCTGCAGAAGGATGACGGCTCGCTGGCCCCTGGTCGTGTTCCACAACATCCTCGACGTTTCCTCCTACAATGCCTTTGTGATATGGAGAGAACTAAACCCCGAATGGATGCCTCAGAAGCGGAACAAGAGAAGGGTGTTCCTAGAGCGGCTGGGAAAGGCGCTGGTGACTCCGTTGATAGAAAGAAGGGAGCGTCTCCCTCGCACAGAAGCATCAGCGGCAGTCGTCCGAGTCGTTCGTAGCGCCGCGTCTAGATCTAGAACTCGCGGTGAGGGCGAGGGCGAGGACGCCGCCGGAGCGGCGTCGGGAGGGGACGACCCAACCGGGGCGAGGAAGAGGAAGAGGTGTCAGTTTTGCCCGCGGGCAAAGGACAACAAAACTTCCACCGTGTGCAGCCGGTGTAAGAAATATATCTGCAAAAGTTGTTCGCTCCCGTACTGCGCTGAGTGTGCTGCTGAGAATTTGGAGACGGGTTGATCGCCGACACACACACGCACACACACACACACACACACACACACACACACGCACGCACACACCATGTGTGACCCCTCGAGACGTGGGATGCGGTCGGTTGAACTGTCCGCAACCGGGGTGACTAGTTTTAGAGGCAGAGAGGCAGCCTGGCAGGACTGCATCAGAAGAGGAAATACTTACGACTTTCCAAAGATGAAAATGTCACGGGAACTGCTGAAAAGACACGAGAGCATGATGAACAGCGAGGACCCGGACATTGAGGTTGTTGGTGGCGACGTGGGTAAAAAGCTACACTTTAACCCCGTTAGAGCGGCAGTGGCATTACAGCTGTGCAGAAAGCTCAAGGTAGACTGTAGACAGCAGTATAGCAAATTCACGGATGTCTGTGAATTAGGAGCTCCTTGTAAGAACGTGAAGATTAAAAGCGACGGGAATTGCTTCTTTAGGGCAGTCAGTGTAGCCGTGAGCGGTACCGAACGCCATCACGGAAGAATAAGAGAAGCCGTGGTGAATCACTTGCAAAGCAATGAAGCTGCGTACGCCAACATTCTGAGAAGGGGTTACCTTTCGGTGTCGGACTACATTGACGCATCTGAAATCGGCTCTCTAGGAAGTTGGGCGACAGAGGTTGAGATTCAAGCGACGGCGGATTATTTGGGTGTCGACGTATTCACGTATTACACCGACCGTTGGCTTCAGTACAGTTGCGACAGCGTTCGGGTCTCTAAACAGGGGATTTATTTAGCGAATAGCGGCAGCCATTACGAGACTGTCGTTTGTGTCACAAGTCCTCCGAAGCAGTCTTGTCGCGGCTACTGCGAAGCAGCCGTAGTTGCGTCGGACACATCCGATCGTCCGACCTCAAATTCTGCCTACACCGATTCTACATCTCGATCCGAGATGGCTTCACCGTCACCGACATCGATTCGTCCGGATAACACGGTGTCTGTGAATGACGACGACTACTGCGAAGAGGAGAGCGATGAGCGCGAGGAGGGGTCCCGCCGCTCTGTCGAGCGTCGAGCTGCGAGGGATTTTTACCCAGATGCTGACAGTCCTCGGAGCCGCTACGAGTATGACGATTACCGCAGTGACGCCGCCGAGCTAGACGTCGGAGGACGCTTCGGTGAAGATGAGGCCTGGGAGAATAATCCTGATGAAGAGCATGACCGCTATGGATGGCTATCAAGGAGACGTGTGGAAAATTATATCGTTGAAAATATGGAGCACCGTCCCTACGGCGATAGCCTTGTAACTCCGGGTGACGTGGAGGATACCGCCGAAGCTGATTTACCGCGTAACAGCTTTGCGGATTAGCGTGAACTTTTCGACCGCTCTGATGAGCATCGAACTCCGAGGGACTCGAGGGGCGCGAGTGACCGCGATGCCGACTTTTAACGAGATTCTGACAGTCCTCGGAGCCGCCGTGAGTATGACGATTACCGCAGTGACGCTGTGGAGCTAGAAGTCGAAGGACGCTTCGGTGAAGATGAGGCCTGGAGGAACACTCCCGACGAAGAGTACGATCGTCGTGGCCTGCTATCGGAAAGACACGTAGAAGGTGACGTTGTTGAAGACGAGGAGTGTTATCCCTACGGCGATAGCCTCGGAACTCCAGGTGACGCGGAAGATACCGGTGAAGCTGATTTGCCACGTGACAGCTTTATGGATCAGTCCGAACTTTTAAACAATGAGATCTGTATCGCGCTGTGGGATTGCGAGGAAGAAGTTCGAGAGGAGTTTGGCTCAAATGACCGCTACGCAGCTACATGCCGCTGGACCGAATTGGAGGAATCGT